CATGCGGACTTTTGTTGGCAGGGTGATGTCTCTACTTTTTATCATGCTGTTCATTTATTCCAGGCTAAATCAAAGTACAAAAACTCAGTCTGCAAGTGGGGAATAGGAAATACAAATGACTGTTTGGGGCTCTGCTGCCCTCTGGTGGCCAAAAAGGAAACCCACAGACCTCAGCGGCTCCCATGGCCAAACCGCACCTGTTCCGAAACTTAAGGTAAAGGTAAAAGGTTCCCTTGCTTGAAAGCCATCTGAGTCCGACTCTAGGGTTGCGGTGCTCATCTCCGTTTCAAAGCCGAAGAGCCAGCGCTGTCCGAAGACGTTTCCGTGGTCATGTGGCCGGCATGACCAAACACCAAGGCGCACGGAACGCTGTTCCCTTCCCACCGAAGTGGTCTCTATTTATCTACTTGCAGTTTCTGGCTTTCGAACTGCTAGGTTGGCAGGAGCTGGAACTAGAGACGGGAGCTCACTCCGTCATGTGGCAACTCGGGTCTCGAACTACTGAACTACTGACCTTCCACAGCCTGCAGTTCAGTGTCTTAACCACTTGAGCCACCACAGCTCTTAACTTAACAGGGCCACAAAAACAGTCCTGTAGCCAGGGTTTTTTAAGTCAGGGGGCATTTAAATTCCTTAGGGGGGCACTGGCTAATCGAATTAAAAATAATTTAATTCAGTTTCTGGAGGAAACAGGAGAGGTGCTTTCTGGCTCCACATGGCCACCATAGCTGGTGCTTCATGCCAGACAGCTGTGCAGAAATACTCGGCTCCTTCCCCGCACCTGCTCTTGCTGGGGGCCCTTGGCTGGATGGGAAGTTGGGGGGCCTTGCCAGTAAGTCAGGGGGCCTAGCCCCGAGGTGCCCCACTGTCGCTACGGGCCTGCGCAAAAAGCAGGCATGGCCGGGGGGGGGGGGAATTAAAGGCATGGTACTGGGAATGCTTTAGATCTCCCCTCCCCATTGATCCGCCCCAAGGCTGCTTTTGAGACCCCAGCAGGGAAGAAGAGAATGCCTAAGTACCAACCTTCCCCTCGCCATAAGGGCTAAACCCACCCTGAGAGGAAGCCCTTAAAATCCACTTCTCGCCCCTGTCAGATTTACCTGAATATCTGTCAGCTCCTTCAGAAACCGTTTAGCAATCTCCGGACCGTTCTCCATCGTGGGGATGTGGTAATGCTGAGGGGTGGACAGAGAAACACACTGTGGGTTGGAAAAGGATGGGGCATTTGGGGCAAAACCAACAGGCCAGAATCGGGTCCGGGTGACCACTCACTTTGCCCTGGTACAAGATCTTGTTCACGGGACACACGACGCACGCCGTGCCTGAGCCAAACACCTCCTTCACCCTGTTCTCCTCCAGGCCTCTGATGAGGTCGGTCATCGTGATCACCTTCTCTGAGACCTTGAATTCCCCCTGAGCAGAAAGAGATCCAAGGGTGAGGAAATGTCTTGGTGACTAAGAGAGGTAGGAAACCAAGTTAACTGCACGGGTGGCCAAATATCTGGTGGCGCTTATAGCACAGCATATTTAAAGAGCTACCTGCCTGGTTTGTTTTATCTGATCATGTGCTCCTGTTCCTGACAGTGGTTGAAAGAATAGTGAATTGTTTAGATGGGATTCAAGCACTTGAAAATCCCACTGGGGGGTCACGCCAACCCCCCCCCCTTAAATTTTTTAAAGACAGTAATATTAACATGTTTCCTCTGTGTATGGCTCCATTTTGTGGCCATGCCCACCACCTGATGTCAGAATTCCAAAGGTGCCTACAGGCTAAAAAAAAAAGGCCGGGGACCCCTGCTTCAATCCCCTCAAGGCTTACCCACTTGCGTGCGAGATCCAGAAGGCTCTGCCGGACCACGCCAGGCAAGATGATCCCATTCAGCGGAGGGGTGACCAGCTCCAGAGCTGGAAGAAAGAATGGCCGTTACACGCCAGTGGCAACGGGCCCATCCCGTGATTCTAGGGGCGTGCGGAAAGAGCACGGCGTTTGGGTGCAGATTTAACAGTCCCGAGAACTCCAGCTTCCGTCGTAAGTTTTTTTTGATGGACGCTTCGACTTGTTTTGATTTTTAAAAATATATTCCCGCAATACATTTTCTAGCCTCAAAGCGCCTGGACCCAATAACATTTCCCGGGGGCGGGGGGGGGCGGGGGGGCGCCTCTCACCTCCCTGCTGATCCTTCCAGAACATGAAGATGTTCATAGTCCCCACTTCGGTCAGCTGGTGGTCGTCCCCATAAAGCCACAAGACCTGCTGGCAGCCCTTTTTGACGGCCTCGCTCTGCACGTGAATGGTGGGACCGTAGTTGCTAAAGGTGACCAGAGTACAGGACAGATATCAGTCAGGTGCTCATCACCCCTAAGGAGCAGAGACAACCCTCGATGGGCCGGCAGGAGGAGGGGGTCAGATTCTTACTCACCCGCCCAACTTGCAGTCCCCAACGCCGCCCATCCAGGCCCGGACAAAGTGGGGATCCGCCAGGAGAGAGACGGGGTTGAAGCTGCCGGTGGCGAAATACGGGCCCACGGGCCCCAGGATCACAAACAACAAGGCATAGGTCGACTTGGCCACCCCCAAGGAGGGCTGCAGAGGGAGAAGAGTGTCATAGGAAATCAAACCACGCTGGAACCAAAGGCACTGTCCTTGGAGGAAGAACGAGGAAGGTGGACACAGGAAGCAGGTTTCACCTTGAGGGGCCCTGCCCAATGGTCCCTCTAAGCTGTGGAGTCTTGTGAGCAAAGATTCTACTTTGTGAGCTGCCGGCATTCAAGTGGTGAGCGAGCCACTGGGCTGCGGCATAAATCAGTTTGCTCTGGAGCCCTCCTTCCTGAGCTGAGACAAAAAACTGTGAGCCAGAGGCTAAAAAACGGTGAGCTAGCTCACACTAACGCAGCTCAGAGGGAACACTGGCTCATGTCTCTCCCACCATATGTCCCTGTGCGGCAACTTCGGCCTGCAGGCAGCCGTCTGTTTACTATTCCACCAGTTAGGGTGGCCCATCTAGCATCGACCACTGCTGGACCTCCTGATGGCACTGGTATTTCTGGCCACTGTGTGATACAGAGTGTTGGACTGGATGGGCCTTTGGCCTGATCCAACATTGGCCTCTCTTATGTTCTTATGTTCTTACGACCAGAGCCCGGCCTTTCCCAGTGTGCCTCTGGCTCTGTGGACTGGGCTCCCTGAGGAGGCAAGGGGCCTCCCCCCGGAGACCTTCAGGAGCACCGCACGAGGCCTGCCTGTTTGCCAGGGGTCTGCAGGGCAAGGGTCCTTTAACGGCTCATGTCTCTCCCACCATATGTCCCTGTGCGGCAACTTCGGCCCGCAGGCAGCCGTCTGTTTACTATTCCACCAGTTAGGGTGGCCCATCTAGCATCGACCAGAGCCCGGCCTTTCCCAGTGTGCCTCTGGCTCTGTGGATTGGGCTCTCTGAGGAGGCAAGGGGCCTCCGCCCAGGAGACCTTCAGGAGCACCGCGAGGCCGGCCAGTGTGCCAGGGGGTCTGCAGGGCAAGGGTCCTTTAACGAGGGGAGGCAGAAGGAGTTGGGATCAGCGACTTTATTTTTGGCTTCCACTGAAAATGCCGAGAGCGGTTCTCGTCGGCTGCCCTGAACCATGAGGAAAGACAGGGTCTAAATGTTTTAATAAATAACATTATAAACGGGGTCTTTCCAAGAAGCAAGACAGGGGAGGGAAGCCACAGGAAGAGAGTTTTCTTTTTTTGGGGGGGGAAAACAACATCACCTACATTTATGATTTCCAGATCTTAAAATGTGGCTTTGCGCATGAGGGAGAGCAAGATATTGCAGAAGGCAAAGGACCAGATAGACAGGACACACAGGAGTGGTTTTCTGGAAAAGAGGTACTATAAGGCAGTATTTGGGTGGGAGACCATCCAAGGATGGTTCAGGGTCCCTACACCGTGGCAGGCAAGGGCCAAACCACCTCTGGACATCTCTTGCCTTGAAAACCCTACGGGGGGTCGCCATGAGTCAGCTGCGACTGGAGGGTCCTTCCTACCGCCCAGGAGGAACGAATGAGAGAGGCCAGCACACAGAGGGCTGCTTGGCCAAAAGCCACAGTATTTTATCAATACAGTACTTGATCAAGATGGCAGCGCGCATAGACGCAGCGGCTTTGTGCGCTCTCTTTCGGTGTCTTGTATGGCTGTTTTTGTTTGAGTTACAGTTGTGAATGGTGTGTGAGTGTATATGAACATTGTTGTAGATCACCAAAATGATTGCATCTTTAATTTCAATATAGTATATTGAATATAGACAATATAGACAATAAAGTATATTCTATTCTATTCTATTAAAAAGCGTCTTTGTGGTTCACAGCTCTTCCCCCACACCCCGAAAATAACATGCCCCAAAAGGTCTAGTAGGGAATTTTAATCCTGAGAGGAGTGGATTCGAGTAACCAAAGGCCTCAGGGGCAAAGGCTGAATCCCAAACCGTGGGGACAGGTTTCAATGGTGAGGCAAAACAGAAACACCAAGACCACGATATATAAGCAACGCAGCACCTCATAATCCACAAAAAGGCCTGGGGGGAGAGAAGTGTTTTTGCTGAATGCCTAAATCTCAAGCATCCTGATGTAGGACACGTAGAAAGAGTAATCCACTGTCAGAGTCCCTGAATAGGCAAAGCTTGGCCCCTTGTGCTCAGCAGCTGAGGGTGCAGAAACACGCGACAGAGCCCCTCTCTGTGATCTTAACTTCTTAGATGGCCTTCCCCACTGCAGATTTCAGCCTCACAACAACCCTGGGAGGTAGGTCAGGCTATGACATGGTCCCAGTCAGTGTTCCCTCTAAACTGAGTTCGTGTGAGCCAGCTCACAGTTTTTCAGCCTCCAGCTCACACATTTTTGTCTTAGCTCAGGAAGGATGGCTCCAGAGCATACTAATTTATGCAGCAGCCAAATCGCTCGCTCACGACTTTAATGCCACCAGCTCACAAAGTGGAATTGTTGCTCACAAGACTCCACATCTTAGAGGGAGCATTGGTCCCAGTCCACCCAGAGAGCTTTGGGGCTGAGGAAGAATCAGAACCTGGGCTCTCCCGTGTTCTGGTCCAGGGCCTGTGCCACACTGGCTACTGGAACGGTCGGCAGCCCATCAGAGCGGAAGTCTGCGGGAGTACCCACCTCAGTGCCGATGAAGGTGGGGCGGATGTAGAGGCTGGCGGAGTCCGAGTGGGGGACCCAGTCCCGGTCCACGTGGATGAGCTGCCGGATGCATTCGAGTAACTCGGCCTTATCAAAGGGCTGTTGGGAGAGAGGGACAGAGGCCCGGAGGGATCAGTGGTGCTCCTCGGGACACCAAAGGCCTCAACGCCAGCATTCAACACACTCCCCTCCCCAAAAAACCCCAGAGAGACAGCCTCCCCGGCTATCTCTCCATTCCATCAAAAGCTCTCCCCTATCCCAGGGAACCCTGGGGGCCTGGCTCCCGGACACAAAGGCCCCGCTTCTTCACAATCCTTTCTCCCCCCAGGACTCTCTCACCCTCCCCTCTCCCTGCAGGAATCAGTGCAATCCGCTCGGACCTTGCACAGAGAAAAGGGACCCGTCAGAATGCCGCACGCAGTGTCTCTGAGCATGACATGCCCAAGACCCTCTTGGGGGGTGGCAGATTTAAGCCCAAGGAAGCGGCAGCTTGGTCATCAGGCAAGAGGGAGGCGAGAGGAGGTGATGGGTAATACTCACAGGCAGGCAGGCGCGGAGAGCGGTACGTAACATGCGTTCCATGTTCAGCATGGGACGGAAAAGACGGACGTGCTCGTCCGGGCCCCGGAAAGCCTTCATTCCCTCAAAGAGCTACATGGAGGGGGGAGGGGGATAGTTTAGACCAGGACCTCAACGGAAGGCGCCCAGGCAGATCAGGGCAAAGATCTATCTGATCCGCCAGCCTCTTTCCCAACGTCACTAACCAGGTGACTCTGGGAAGCCTACAAGCCAGGCAGGAAAGAAACAGCCCTTCTCTGCAATTGCCCCCAGAAGCTAGTATTCGGAGGTACACTGCTTCTGAAACTGGAGGTTCTCTTTAGCGACCATGGCTTAAAGGCGCATCTACGTCTTCTACCAAGTTGAGAGGCAACTGCTGCAGGAATGGGAAGCGGGGACTATTTTGTTTAAGTCGTTTGAAAAAGAATAATTCTTGAAAACTGCATCCATTTCTTTGCATAGATCCCATTTCTTTGCCTACGGGAGGGGGCGGGGAGACATCTACCCTGAAGAGGTTCTTGTGGTCCCTGCATGCATCTGGGTCATACTGCAGACTGATCTCTCTTTAGCGACCATGGCTTAAAGGCGCATCTACGTCTTCTACCAAGTTGAGAGGCAACTGCTGCAGGAATGGGAAACGGGGACTATTTTGTTTAAGTCATTTGAAAAAGAATAATTCTTAAAAACTGCATCCATTTCTTTGCATAGATTCCATTTCTTTGCCTACGGGAGGGGGCGGGGAGACATCTACCCTGAAGAGGTTCTTGTGGTCCCTGCATGCATCTGGGTCATACTGCAGACTGATCGGTTTGCAAAGGCCATTGAAATAGCGCCTGAAGTCTCGCGAGACTTCGGCAACCATTTTGCTTTGCCTTCCGAACCAGACAGTTGTGCCGTAGGAGGATCCCTCAGCCCAGAACTGGCAGCCAGGGGGGACAGCCAGCACTCAGCTATGGGCGGTGGTCAGTCCCTGTAAGTCAATGGGAACTGCAGGCCTCCATATATATTTGGTTGCTGTGGCAACCCAAAACGGCATCCAGTGTCTCATGAACTCATCCTGGGAGACTTCCTGGGCCATTCTAGTTGCCATAGCAACCCAACAGACACCCCCCCCCAACTATGGCAAGGAGGGACAGAAGGGGGAATGGGGAGAGGAGGAAGGGGAACGGAAGAAGGGGGGGGGGATGGAAGAAGTTTCTGCATACCATTGTGAGCCCCCGTTTTGAGCCACACTAAATATGTCACATATTGAGTTCATAATCTGTTAAAATAGTATTGTACATCACAATATAATTGACTGAGATTACAAACTGTAATGAAATACATCCAGTTCTAATAGGGCTGCACTTCCTGGAACTCTACAGTAAAACCATAGAGGTTTCCAGGGATTCCTAGAGCTACCACCACTGCTTCCATGTTTTTCCTGGATGTGACATCATCACGCTTGCAATGGGGCACCCCCTTGTCCCTGCCAGTTGCCATGGCTGGCAGCCCTGAATTTTAAGCAGACCCAGACTCTCCTGGGCCTTTCCTTGCAAGAAAGGTGCTTCAACCCCTTGATCATTTTGGTGGCTTCTTCCTCCACCTTTCTTCCTCGGGATCAGCCGCTCACGGACATTCCCACAATTGCAGAGACGTATTCCCTCCAGCAGCCTAAGCCCGTTTCACCCAGCATTCCTTTACTTGTTCCACGAAGCCGTTACCTGTACTGAGTAGTGCAGGGCTGAAGAGGCCGGGTGCAGAGAGATGCTTTGGAAGGGCTTGATATGAGGCTTGCTCCAACTCTTTTCCTGCGTCCATTCCACTGTGAGCATGTGATCGGTGAAATGTTTGCCGAAGACCAGCTTCCCGGGGTCCGGCTTGGGCTTTGGGTGGCTGCTCAACTCGATCTGGAGATCAGAGGCCTAGGAAACAACAAGGCACCTATCAGACCCCGCTCTGTCTATCGGAAAACTGGATGCATTCCACTATTACCAGAAGACTTTCAGTGGCTTTCATTTCCAGTCATAAGCCAAAGTACTGATTTTTTCCTAGTTCAAAGAAATAAGGTAGGTGAGATATAAATATTTTCAATAAAAAACATAAAGTCTAAGCTGCTTTGGATCGGTGCACCGGAAGGACCGTCTGCTCCCATAAAGGGCCTTCTCACATTCTGAGATCATCAAACCCACGGAACTTCCAGAGGTCTTCAGAAGTCCTATTCTCAGGCTTCCCAGGTACTTACCGGGATTTGACAGACGTCTTCACTGGACCATTCCCACGGGGACAACAGACGCGCCGCACCATGCCGTCGCCAGGAAGTGACGCCGGGCGACGCTCTGGCAATGGGGCTGGAAACTCGATGGTACCATCGAGTTTCCAGCCCCATTGCCAGAGAGTCGCCCGGCGTCACTTCCTGGCGACGGCATGGTGCGGCGCGTCTGTTGTCCCCGTGGGAATGGTCCAGTGAAGACGTCTGTCAAATCCCGGTAAGTACCTGGGAAGCCTGAGAATAGGACTTCTGAAGACCTCTGTGTGTGCTATGTGTTGCCAAGTTGCTGCTGGCTTATGGCGATCCCATGAATCAATGTCCTCCAAAACGTCCTGCAGCCATGCGCAGGTCTTGCAAACAAGGCTTCCTTGATTGAGTCAATACCCCTCAGGCTGGGTCTTCCTCTTTTCCTGCCTGCCTTCAACTTTTCCTAGCGTTATTGTCTTTTCCAGTGACTCTTGTCTTCTCGTGATATAACCAAAGTTATAGCCTCCGTTTACTCATTTTAGCTTCTAAGAAGAGTTCAGGCTTGGTTTGACCGAGAACCCACTTATTGCCTGGCCTGCACACCTCCTGAACAACCAGGCCAAAGGCAACCCAACCACCATGTTGCACGGCTTGGAAAGTGTTCCGTGTTTTGATGGTTTCAGGTGGACTCCAGACCCAAATGTTCTGTCAAGCCCCCACAGTACATGGCTGTATGAATCACAAAGTGATGCTAAGTCAGAGACCACTGGCCCACCTACCTTGCTATGGGCTGCTCTGACTGGAAGTCATTCTCCAAAGGGCCCTGGCAGTCAAAGACCTCTTCCAAGCCCCACCAAGGTCCTTTAACTGGAGATGGCAGGGACTGAAATTTGGGCCTTCTGAAAGCCAAAAAGGTTTGTCTGGTGGGCATGCGAAAGACAGTCTTTTGGGTGGCAGCTCCACAATCATGGAACAACCTCACCAGGGGGATGTGCCCGGTTCCCTTACTGTCGATCTTCAGGAGGCAGTCGAAGACAGTTTTATTTAGGACTGCATTGAATGATTTCGTTTTTGGGTGATTTCCCACAAGCGCTGCTCCGCGCGCACTCTTTTCTTTGGCCCGATGGTACGTGTCAATTTCACACAAGCTGCTGCGTGGCCGCATTTTACCCCGCAGCTTCGTGCGTCTACTCAATCCTGTTTTTTGAGGATTGAGTAGATGCGGGGGAAATCGCACGAAGCTGCGGGGCAAAATGCGGCCGCGCAGCAGCTTGCGTGAAATTGACACGTAGCATCGGGGCAGAAGGGAGGAGTGAGCGCGGAGCATCGCTTGTGGGAAATCACCCTTTGTTTCTTGGCAGTCCTCATTGGAGTTTTTAGATTATGACTTTGTACGGATTTTTTTAATCGTTGTTGTTTTTATTCCATTTTTATAATGTTTTTACATTGTAGGATGCCTTGAGTTCCACAGTGGAGAAAGGCGGCTAATACATGCTTTAAATAAATAAAAATAAACTGGGTTTTGCCACTTACCCACATAACCCCCCCCCTGCCCTTTCAAAAGCCTAGAATTCACAAATCAAAGCCATACACCTAATATATCACAAACACGAGGCAGCGCTGATCTTCCAATTCAGTTGTATCACATTTACGTAGCGTTTCAACTGTCCCTTCGTGAATTGGCCATCCACAAGGACCAGAAACTTTGGTTTTTGCCTTTCCTAACAGTCAGAATCCCTACTGCTCATGTTTCATCATTAAGCAACATCTTCGCTTTGATCACAGAATCGGTCTGCAAATTCTTACCTTGAATGAAGTGCTTAGAAATCTCTGGGGCCCAAGGAGCGAAATCGCAGCGGTGCATGCCCTTCCTTTCAAAACCTGAGACGGCAACAAAGGGAAAGGATAAGAAAAGAAACTCTTGTCGCTATGAAAGGAAAGGAATTCTTTGCTTCTGGCATTCAAAATGGTGACTGTTGAGGTCCCACCCACATTCGGGCAAAGGCTTCTGGATCATGTGTCTTCCAATCATACCCTGGAACCCATTCTTAAAATCTTCTTCTTGTTGTTGTTCAGTCGCACAGTCGAGTCTGACTCTTCGCAACCTCATGGACCACATCTTAAAATCTGCTGCCCCATTAATCAGCGGCAATCTTTTCAATCAATCAAAAAGTAATTGTTATATTATAACCTTTCCACTGTGGAACCCCTGAGACAGTGGACGGAGGGGCCTCAAAGTCGCTCATCTGCTGAGGACAATCAGACCAGCTTCGCTTCCGCAGCTTAAGGCACCACAGTCCTTCCAACTGTCCCTCAGGAATCAATCAGTTTCACTGATACAGTGTCCTTTTCTTAATTTTAATGTGGAACTGAGAAACAGCCTGCCTAGTAACCAGATCTGGGACTAGGGTTGCCAAGTCGAAATGTCTCCTTATCGGGGGACTGCCGCACCTGAAAGTGACGTGATCACGCTGGGGGAGGGGCCACAACCATCCGAGGGAAAACCATAGAGTTTTCCCTTGGATGACCGTGGCCCCGCCCCCAGCGTGGTCACATCACTTCCGGGTGACGTGCATGTCGGGGTGAGGTTCCCCCCGGGGCCCAATCCGCCCCCCAGGGGGACTTGGGAAGCCTATCTGGGACGTTTCTAGAAACTGGACTGATGGTCCTGACTTCTTTGAAAGGGCCACACAAAGCAGATCCTTAACATTCATTTTAAAAGGCATCCTGTTCTGTCTGAAATCATATTAAAAATACACTATTAGAGTTATGTACAACCTCACTCCCTGGTAGGGCTACCAAATTCCCCCGGGGGGCGGAATTCCCCCCGGTTTCGAGCCCCGATTCCCGCTCCCGCGGAATCGGGGCCCGGGGGAAACCCCACCCCCGCGTCCGTGTCACCCGGAAGTGACGTCGGACGCTGGGGGCGGAGCCACGCCATTTGAGGGGAAAACTCTTTGTTTTCCCCTCAAATGCGTGTCACCCGGAAGTGACGTCGGACGCTGGGGGCGGAGCCACGCCATTTGAGGGGAAAACAAAGAGTCTTCCCCTCAAATGGCGTGGCTCCACCCCCA